GTAACGGCGCACACGTTAGTTTTTTCTGCGACGCGCTAGCTCCACCAGGGGCGAATCGGCGAGGGGGGTCGTACCTGCCCCCCCCCTCGGCCGGCGCGTATGTAGAAAGCCAAGGTAGGTACGTTTTTCGGCTACTGGTCGTTTATTGTTTTCGTTTCGAATTTTCGACCTTCGCATCGAGGTCGTTGTCAAGAACCAGGAGATCACGCACCGCTTTGGAACAAAACGACAGTCCTCGAAAACGAAAACAATCTCACGAAACGACTCACGAAAGAAGCGCTACAAATACACGTCAAGAAAAACGACACCATCAACCGAGTAGACGGCACCGCATTCAGTCCTTTATGGGATCAGTGCTGGTAGGGCAACGAGATCCGACGATCAAGCAATCAAAGATTTTAAGCATGTATTTTTAATGTGTCACAGCCTGTTTGTATGTCTCATGTACTGCATACATTCATTCATTCATTCATTCATTCTTTTATTCATTCATTCATTCATTCATTCATTGATTGATTCATTCATTCATTCAGTCAGTCAGTCAGTCAGTCAGTCCGTCAGTTAGCCATTCATTCATTCTTTCATCTATTCATTCACTTTTTCCTCATTAACCCGCGCACCGACGGGGGGGGCGGATATCCGCCCCCCCCTGAGGTTTTTCGCGAATAGCGGGAAAACCGCGGCGCGTAGCGCCGCGAAATTTGGTATGACTATTCCCTTATCAATTTTACACATGGTGTGCAAGTTTGAACCTCCTACCTTTCAAGGTCAGGTCACCAGGTCACTTTGAATGACCCAACCTCAAGTCACTTTTTTGCAACTTTGTCACCGTGCCAGAGCTACAGTAGATGTCGGAGGCCTTTGAAAGTCGCAGGATGTTATTAGGTCATTAGTAGCTACAATTTGTATATCTCGGAATTTTGATATCGGTGACCTAAGGTCAGGTCAATTTCGCGACCTCCCCATTATAAGTCAATGGGGGGAAAATCAACTCCCTGTTTTTACCACTAAAACGGGTCGGAATGGCCCCATATACCATACATGACTTCATATACGATCAACCTTCACTACCTTGAGGTCTGTTTTGCTGTTGGGCAGCTGTGAGGTCATGTGACGTCATCAAAGGTCACCAAAGGTTTTTGGCCAATAACTCCGTACAGGAACAAGATACAGACGCGTGGATGGTCTCATTGTGTTCAGCTCGTCAAGACGCATCGAATGATATACATGATGACCTCGAGGTCACGTGACCTGAGGTCAACCTTTGACCTTGACCTTTCGAGGTCAACTTATATATCATTCGATGCGGATTGACGAGAGGATCACGATGATGCCCTTAGTTTGTTCCTATCTTGACTAATTCGAAAGTTATTCGAGAAAAACTCTCTCCATATTTAGCGCCGCCATTTTGACTTTTTCGACCCCTGTGACGTCATCTTTGACCTGACCTGAAAATGACCTTTGTAAAAATTGTAGATCTTGACCGTGCGTATCCGATGCCGTTTACCGGTTGTCGCTATCTTGCTTCGTTCTCGAGATCTCAGGGGGGGGCGGTCATCCGCCCCCCCCCCCCCCCGTCGGTACTAAGTTGGCGCAGACCCCCGTCGGTGCGCGGGTTAATTTTGGGTACAGATTTTCAGGTCAGAAATAGCTGGAGGGATTACTTGCACGTTTTGAGATATGATAACCGTACTATTTTTTCAACCGTGTTCATGATGCATGTCATTGTCATTGTTATATGTTCCTTGACAACGACCTCGATGCGAAGGTCGAAAATTCGAAACGAAAACAATAAACGACTAGTAGCCGAAAAACGTACCTACCTTGAATTAAGATGTCTAGTTGTAAAAGCTTGAAATCATATATTGTAGAAAGCCAATAGGTCCGGCGAGGGTTAAAACCCAAAAGTAGGTATTGTTGCCACACGTTTAGCCAAATGCACTATCTGTGTTAAAGGTTGTACATTTACAAGCCGGATTTTTTTTTACACTACACATCTGAAGTCCGATTGAATTTGACACAGTTAGGGGCAAAGCCGCTGCTCTTCTTTTAGGGTGTACCTAATTGTTGACGCATGCCACCAATCTGAATCTGATGCCTACATAATGCATTCATGCCCGCGTAGGAGGAGGGGAGGCATTACAGTCACAATCTCTCTTTTTGACTGCTGTAGGAATCGGCGGCGCGAAGCGTCGCGAAAATTGGCTAAAACATTTGTTAACCCGCGCCCCAGTGTCAGTCTGGATTTTCCACGACCTGGTGTGGGGGGTGTTTGAACACCCCCCCCCCCTTCTAACTCGGCTCCTGGGCCACGTAGCGACACGCGGTAAGCGGCAATCGAAAGAACGTCAAAAATAAGGACGAAAACACTTCAGTCATTTTTTGGGTCAGGTCAAAGGTCAGGTCACCAGAGGTCAACAAAGGTAAAATGTTGACTATTTCAACATTTTGGAAACTGCCAACGGCTATCTCGGGAACCGATAGAGCTACAGCGCCGCGGAAAAGTGCATACGATAGCCCTTTTACAGAGCTTTCTGAACAATGTACTCAGATTTGACCTCAGGTCAACGGTTTAGCCTCCAGAGGGCAAAAACTCCAAAAATAGCCGTTTTTACGAAAATCGGTTTTTCGGCGATAACTTTTGACTCAAAAGAGTCATGACATTACTTTTGCCAGCATCATGTTCCTCTTGTCGAGACGCGTCGAATGAACTATAAGGTGACCTTGAAAGGTCAACTTGAAAATTTGACCTCAGGTCAAGGTCATGACCTGACCGGAAAAGGTCATGTTGCATATCAGTCGATCTGCAACGTCGCGCCGAACACATCTAAGGCGTTTTCAGCGCTCTAGCACGCCTCTATCAGATGTTTTTAGCGAAAAACTGTTAAATTCTGTTTGTGACCTGAGATGACCTCGGGGACATAACGAGGGGTCACAGTTGCCATTTTCCGGTTCAGTGTGTCAATTTCACCTACATCTCGATGTTTGAGAGTGTCTAGAATAGCGTTCGTGCAAAACAGACGCTTTTCAGTTTTCTCCCATTGACTTATAGGTAATGGAGAGGCCGCAAAATTGACCTGACCTTAGGTCACCGATATCAAAATTCCGGGATATACATTTTATAGATACTGTTACCACCATCAATCGCTGAAAGTTTCAAAGTGATCGGTCACTCGGTGTAGCTATGGCAGATATTGAAACTTTTTATGAGGTGAGGTCACTTCAAGTGTCCTGGTGACCTGACCTTGAATGACCTTGGTCTGAAATTTTCACAACATGTGTAGAATTGATGTATGATAAGGTGAGGTCGGGTCACCAAGTCAAGCAGCCTCTAAGTTTTGTGGTCCTGCATCAACCGTGCAGCTTGTTTCCTAGAAGTTGGAAATTTAGTGTAGTCTGCACGACTGCGGGGTTGAAGCCGGAGACGGTCGGAGTTGACTATTCTGCAAATAGTCATTTTTAAGCATCCTTGGGTGTTTATTTTTTGGGGGGATTTGCCCCTCGGATTCCTCGACCGGGGGGACGCGTCCCCTGTCCCTCTGTTTTCGACGCCCATGGCGCCTGCGATGCCCATACGGCCGCCTGTGATGCTCATAGGGGTGTCTGCTTGCGAGAGACGGCACCTATGATGCCTACTCGGGTGTCGACATGCAATAGAGGGGCGCCTATCAATGCCATAGCGGCTCCTCCGTACGAAAGACGGGCGTCTGTATGCCAAAGAGGAGCGGCTCTGAGGCAGTGAGGGCACCTACATGCAATAGAGGGGCGCCTCCGAGGCCTACATATATGGGCGTCCACATGCAATAGAGAGGCGTCTATCAATGCCATAGGGGTGCGTGCATTCATACGAAACAGGGGCGCCGGCATGGCAAAGAGAGGCGCCTCCAATGTCAATAAAAGAGTGGCGCCTAAGACAAAGGCACATTTTATGCGACAAGGGTCGCCTGTGGATCATGTAGGGATGTCTCTGATGATGACTATAGGGTGCTCATATGCCAAAGAGGGGCGCCTATGGAGCTAGGGGCTCCTAAGAAACGAGGAAGACATTTGTATTATGGTTTTCAGGGGTCATGCGCCGTTTGCGGCAAATAGATTCTAAAAAAAAATCGGAGAGGGGAATAACTTTTTAAAATAGTGTGGACTTTCCGCGCTGTTCGCTTAAGCGGTTACGCCCCTGATCCCTGGGTACATCTGCCCGATCTCAGAAGCTAGATTTGGAGGTCATACTTGAAAGCAGGACAATGAAAAAGTTAGAGGCCCCTGAAAATAGGGGGCCCCCTGGAAAGGAGGCCCCTCAACATTGTGGCCCACTCACTTTTCATGACGTTCCTACGCCCGTGAAAATGACTGAAGTGTTTTCGTCCTTATTTGGGACGTTCTTTTGATTGCCGCTTACTGCGTGTCACTATGTGGCCCAGGAGCCGAGTAAGAAGGAGGGGTGTTCAGACACCCCCCCCCCCTCCGGCCCGGCACGGAAGTCTCGGAGCACCGGCCCGGCGCGGGTTAAGTGACCTGGGTCTGAAATTTTCACAACATATGTAGAAAAGATAGAAAAAAGATAGAAAAGGTGTGCCAAAAACGAAACGCCGCCGTTTTTTATAGATATTTTTAAAAAAAACCGCAGGAGGGGGGAGGGGGTGTTCAAACACCCCTCCCCCAGCAGGGCGCGGGTTATGAGGTTGGCATCAGAGGGTCAGCTGATCAACCTCCCCGAAAATCCTGTCAAGGGCCCGCTGTGGTCTGAAAATTCCAGTGGAAGAGCATGGATAGTGACTAGTGAGAGTGAGAGAGAGAGAGAGAGAAGAGAGAAGAGAGAGAGAAAGAGAGAGAGAGAGAGAGAGAGAGAGAGAGAGAGAGAGAGAGAGAGAGAGAGAGAAGAGAGAGAGAGAGAGAGAGAGAGAGAGAGAGAGAGAGAGAGAGAGAGAGAGAGAGAGAGAGAGAGAGAGAGAGAGAGAGAGAGAGAGAGAGAGAGATTTGACATTATCTGATTTTCCTTGCAGGTTCTACACAGCGGTGAGGTCTGATGAACATTACCTCATCGCTATGGAACTTGGCGTTTGTACAGTGCACGATTACGTGAAAGAAAAAGTCAAATTTACCAGCCTTGGGATCGATAAAGTCACAATACTTCGCGACTCTTCAAAAGGACTGGAATGGCTCCATGAAAAACAAATCAGTGAGTAGCACAAGGAGGAGTGAGGCAAAGTGGCCACCCTAAGGCCCAGGCTCCACTTGGCGATTTAGTCTGTGTTATTTTGCGATTAATGCGATATCGTGTTGTCGCATTTTTTTTTTTAATCTGAACTTGTTTGCGATAATGCGATAGTGCGTGAGCGTTAATGCTGACATTTAACCACCGCCCGCACATGGGGGCGGGGTTTGTCACCCCCCAGAAAGACTACCTCCAGGTAGTCTTTCTGCTCTGCACTCAACATTTTAGAGCTAGAAGGCTGATTTTTGGTATAGCTGCTCCTCTATCCTTTCTTGATGTCCTCTGAACATTTCAAATTTCTGTGGTTTTTGATTTCGGAGATATGACCTAGTTTTTCAGGTCATGTCATGACCCAAATGACCAATTATCTTCTCAACATCTTGCGTTGGCTAGGGGCCTTGTGAGCTTTTGACACCTTGATTTCGGCCTTTTTTGCCAGTCTTACCTCCCACCTATCATGGAACATGTTGTTCGACAATGTACAGATGTCAAGGTCAGGGTCAAGGTCAACCGAGGTCATCTAAAATAATTGCGCTTTAGGCAAGCTGAATTTACTTTTCGTGAAGTTTTTTTGACTGCATTTTTGGTAAAAGCTTCTCAGATCATGATTTCATGTAATATGGACACATAAACAGTCAGTGCACACATCAGTATACATGTTACAGGCAAAGTGATAACTCGGGCATTTTGCAAAATGCCTAGGCAATTTGCAAAATGCCTGACCGGCTAGGCATTTTGCAAAATGCCCAGGCAATTTGCAAAATGCCTGACAGGCCAGGCATTTTGCAAAATGCCTAGGCAGTTTGCAAACTGCCTGACCCACCAGGCATTTTGCAAACTGCCTAGGCAGTTTACAAAATGCCTGGCGGGTCAGGCATTTTGCAAAATGCCTGAGTTGTGATTGATTTATTTTACCGTTTTTGTTTACCACAGGCGTTGACCACGTCGTTCCCATGTGCCTGAGCCCCAAGCACATTCAATATTTACGAATATACCCACGTCTTCCGCCACTTCCGTCGAGATGGAGCCACTACTGAATGGACTGTGTAGATTGAGCCAACGTCTCCCTATACTTTTCGTATACGGAGTTGTAGCCGTGCGTGTGTACGAATGCTGTGATGGGGCGCGGAGCAGGGCACATAAAAAACATGGGCGCGGAAAAACGCGGCGACCGGCCGAATATTGACCCGACATTCTTCGCTTCCCGTGCTTACTTACATCACGGCAACAGAGGGCCGCAGTGACACGGGGTTGCCAGCTCGATCGATAGAACAGAGACATCGTATCCAATGAGCATTTTTGTTAATCACGTGTGACGTGGAAAGAAATAGTCTATATCTTGAGAAATCAGCCATTTTTGGTACATTTCAGGAAAAACAGCATTCATAAACAATGCATTGGAATGCGATGAGATACATTCCATAGACTAAAAGAACATGTGGCTTTTCCAGAAAAGCAAGTTTTTGGTCATCCACGACCCACGTGCACACCTTTATAATAAAAAGACGCTTAGAAATAACGAGTTTTACATTCAACGGACATGCTCATCTTTACACAGTCACAATGCATTGATAATGTAGGCGTGTGGCCCGCCAATCAAACTACCATACATCGAAAGAACATTCTTTTCTGATCAGATCTACCCAAAGTATTTCCAGAGTCATCAAGGCTCTTAGAAACATTACAATTTTAACGCGTGTTTACCGATAAAACCGCGCCGGGCGCCCGGCAGCCGGCGCGGCGGTCGGGCCGCGCTGCCTGGGGCTCAGTGACCCTGAACTCGGCAGCGCTACCCGGAGAATGTCTCACTGTGTGTCCTCCCACTTGGTGCGTATCGCTTGTGATTAACCCCTGTAAGCGGCACTTACAATACCTAATGATTACGCATCGTCGCTGGTGTGAGTTCGATGTCGGGCATTTTGCAAACTGCCTGAGAAAATAATTTCAGGCAGTTTGCAAAATGCCTGGTGGGCCAGGCAGTTTGCAAACTGCCTAGGCATTTTGCAAAATGCCTGGCCTGTCAGGCATTTTGCAAATTGCCTGGGCATTTTGCGAAATGCCCAGCCGGTCAGGCATTTTGCAAATTGCCTAGGCATTTTGCAAAATGCCCGAGTTTTCACTTTGCCTGTAACATACACACAGACACACACAGACATGCAAACACATATCATTGACCTTGACCTAGCTTGACCTGAAATGACCTCAGCAGCAAAAACCTGGTCGGGCAGTGTGACAAAGAGGTTCTAGCTGTATTGGCACCAGAAAACGGCATCGGCATCGGTATATGATAAGCAGCGCACTTGATATCCAACAGTGACCCAAAACAGCAACATTTTTTTGTTTGACCTGACTTGCAAGGTCAATGACAAGCATCAGAAGGAAAACTGGGTATCATTGGATTCGTCTCTTCCCAAAGAATCTTTTTGGTCTTTACCGCGAACCTCTATCTCCAACAGGAACGAAATGGCGCGGGGGTGGCACCCCCCCCCCCCCATGTGCGTTCTAGAATGGGAAAATGACATGTGCGGGCGAGGGTTAACCCGCATCTTGGTGACGGAGCTATTTTTAGCCCCCGCCCCCTTCAGATTTATCGTTATACATCCAAAACCACAGTGTTGATTGTCACCAAACTTTCAGTATCCTCTCGGGCATCACTTTAACACATTGTTACTTAACCCGCGCATGACTGGGGGGGGAGGGGCTCTACAGAGCCCCCTCCCGTTTTTCGGCAATATCTTCTAAACCGCTTGACGGATCAACACGAAACTTGCCGTACCCGCAGCGGCATCAATTTGACACCTTGTGTTTAAATTTAAACTTTCTAGCTACCATTGTTTGGCCGAAAATGACGTCAGAGTGACGTCATGTCGGCCAATTTTCATGCAAAATATTGAATTACGGCAAACGCTCTCAGGAGCTTACTTCTAAAGCTAGATCTAATTTCGTTGCATCAGTAGACAAACAATAGGTACACGTGGCTTTCAAACTGCAATCTCCAATTTTCGAAATTTTGGAAATTTTGAAAAATATAATTTTACATTTATAATTTTTTTTTGTTATATTTTGATTTTTTCAAAAAGTTTTTGATTTCTCGCAAAAACCGAATAAATCTGATAGAACACACACCATTGAACTAATCTAGCAAGTTTTAGCCCAATATCTTGAAAAATAGCCAAGTTATTCGCATTATTGTCAAAATTTTACAATTTTATGTTTTTCAAATCCATTTTTCAGTACGTTTTTGACGTCGTACAGCAATACAAATGGCACCATCGTGTTACTGAGCTCAAACTGCATCTGATAGGCACCTTTGTTGTTGAAAAATTTCATTTTCAAAATTAGAACTTTTCTGACCTGAAAGTGACCTGACCTTCGATAATTCAGCTGACAATGACCTCAAATGACACATACGACACTATTTTCGAAATCTACGAGTAACATTGACCATAAAACATGCGTCACGTGACCGATAAATGATATACAATTATCATGACCTAGCCTGCGACCTGGTGGGGGGGGGGGCTATTTTTTGTCCCCCCCCCCTCCAGACTTTTCGATATATCTCCAGAACTGCTGCGCCGATCGTCACCAAACTTTGAATACCCTCCCGGACATCAATTTTACATATGGTGACCAAAAATTTTTCCAAAGGCTATGATAGGTTGGCCGGAAATGACGTCAGAGTGACGTCATGTTCTGCCGTTTTCGACCCAAAAAAGGGTTTCGCGGGAAGAGCTGTCAGGCCTATAGCTTTGCAAATACAGAAAAATGATAAGGAAATAAAAGCTGTAGAATTGACAGGGCTACAAAACTGCTATCTCAGATTTTTGATTGTTTTTATTTTGACCCCCAAAAATCAAAAAATAATTTTTTGGATATAATGATCGAAAAATCCAAAAATAATTTTGAATTTCGCAAAAACCGGAATATATGTGATAGTCCTTACCGCCTTCCATCCACATACCAAATTTGAGATTGATACCTCTTTTTTGGCGAAGTTAGGTATAGCGAAAAAACTGTTCAAAAATTATGACGTCAAATTTTCAAACTCAATTTTTAGCAATTCTAGACCCCGTACCGCAAAACAAAGACCACCATTAGACTCCCGTGACGAGCTGCATCGAATCAATACCCATTTTATGCAAAACTATCATTTTTAAGATTTGACCTTTTTTGGCCTGACCTTGACCTGACCGTGACCTGAACTTCACCAGAAAGTGACCTAAGCCGTACATGATTGTCTTATAACCAACACCATTGAGTAGGAAATGAAAAATTGGCCATAAAACATGCATCACACAACCTTAGTAAAGTTGGGCTCATGTGACCTGACCTGTGATCCTTGGTGACCTGACCTGTGACGTGACCTGGTATTGTCAGTGACCTCTAATAGCAACATATCTACTAGGCAACTGACGCCCTATCGCTGATTCTCGACAAAATGCGTTTTCCTCGGTGTTATAGCGCATTCCCTAGAAGACCCGTGAACGGTGAAACATTTCATCTTTGACCTGACCTGTGACGTCATCGGTGACCCCGAGATCAATGAAATTTGGTTTCCTTCGACAAATTTACAGGCCTTTCGAACGCCGTTTGAATTTTGCGGATCCGTCCAGTAGTTTCGGAGATACGAGGGGGGGGGCAAAAATAGCCCCCCACCAGGTCGCGTTATAAACAGACCCCACCAGGGCGCGGGCTACGATGACCTGGCCTTGACCTTAAAAATTCGAAGTAAAAGTTCGGTACCCTCAGGGTATCTAAGGCATCCGTCAAGTAGTGCGTAAACCAAAAATGAGCCTGATCGGACCGGCCGTACGGTGGTCAGAGCCTAAATTGTGAACTAGCAAAAATGTCGATAATTTTTACTTTGAACTGACCTGTGACGTCATCGGTGACCCCGAAGTCAATGAAAATAGGTTTCGCTCGACAGTTTTTCCAGGGCTATCATACACCGTTTGAATTTT